CCCAACAAGAAAAGTCTACATGTCTGCAAATGTTTCATTTGTCGAAACAGAAAAATATTTTCTTGGTCATTATCTTCAGGAGAGACTTTATTTAAAGAAGATAAGGACACAAACTTATTTCTTCGTGAGTTTCCAATCGAAACCAATCCATATTCTTCAAGCACTCAGCCAAAAAACAGTTTCGCACACTCATCCAAATACTCAATCAATCACTCAACTAGAAACATAACCTTATATGTCCAGGTCACAAGGGATGGTGAATGACAAGCAGACTCAAAGCTCTACTCATCCATTGTTGACTTATTCAAGGAAGAAGGCACCAACATCTATGCAAGTCCAATCACCTGAATATCATCCTATTGAGGTAATTGCTAATCCAATCTCTCATAGTAGTAAGACCACACAGGTTATTGAACAAAATGATTATGATATCCCTATAGCCATCAGAGAAGGAACTAGAGCCTGTACCTAACATCCTCTACAATTGTTCATATCATATAAGAATTTATCTGATACCCACAAATCCTTTATCACTAGTCTAAACACAGTGTCTATTCCTAAAACTTTATCAGCGATATTAAGGAATGATAATTGGAAGAATGCCATTAAAGTTGAGATGGAAACTTTTAAAAAGAACAAAACATAGGAATTGGTTGAGCTGCCTAAAAGGAAAAAACCAGTTGGGTGTAGATGGGTTTTTGTTGTTAACTACAGGTCAGGTGGCTCTCTAGAAAAGTATAAAGTAAGATTAGTTGCCAAAGGTTCTACTCAGACCTGTAGCATAGACTATCTTAAAAAATTTGGTCCAGTTGTTAAGATGAATACGGTGAGAATTTTGTTATCATTGGCTGCTAATTTTGGATGGAAGCTACACCAATTTGATGTAAAGAATGCCTTCTTGCATTGTGAACGAAGAATAAATTTACATGGAGATTCCGCCCGGACTTGACTTAGTAAAGAAGAGAATATGGTGTGTAAACTAAAGATAGCTTTGTACGGATTAAATCAATCTCCAAGAGCTTGGTTTGGAAGATTTACCAATGTGATGCTTAGCATGGGATACCAGAAAAGCCAAGGCGATCATACTTTGTTTGTAACATACTCAACGTTAGGGAGCATTGTTAGCCTATGTAGATGATATTATAGTGAGGAGATGATTTGAAAGGAATATATCGCTTGAAGAACATGTTAATGAAGGAGTTTGAGATCAAAAAATTAGGTAAGCTAAAGTATTTCCTCGGCATTGAAGTAGCTTATTCTCAGCCAGGGATCTTTATATCATAACAAATATATGTGATAGATTTATTAAAAGAAATGGGTAAGCTAGGATATAAGTCGGCAAAAACACCCATAGAGTACAATCAGACTTAGTGATTATCCGATATGGCTTATGTAGCGAGTGTTGTAAGACAATTCATGCACAATCCTAAGAAGTTACATCACAAAGCTGTATATTTAATCCTGCAGTATTTAAAAGGTATATCGGGAAAAGGGGTATTATTTAAGAAAGGAAAAGGACCGACCCATGAAGCCTACCCAGATGTGGATTATACAGGATCCATGGTTCATAAAAGATCAACTTCGGGCTATTGTACTCTACTTGGAAGGAATCTTGCGACTTTGTGCAGAAGCTGAATTTAGATCAATGGCACTTAGGATATGTGAGCTATTATGGCTAAAGATAATTCTAGAAGATCTGAAGATTGAATGGAACTGTCCTATGAAGCTCCATTGTAACAACAAATTAGTCATTAATATTGTACATAATCCAATGTAGCATTACTGTACGAAGCACATTGAAATTGACACACATTTTATAAAGGTAAATCTGGATAATAGTCTGATTTTTACACCATTTATTTCGACTAGTAGTCAACTGACACAAATACTAATCAAAGGATTCTCTGGTGTAGCTTTCCAAGGAATAGCTGGCAAGCTGGGAATGGAAGATATCCACTCACTAGCTTAAGAGAGAGAGTGGGAAAATATAATTTTTCTAACTTACTACATATCTATTTAATCTTTATAATTGCTTACTTTAGGATAGTTATTGCAATCCCTAATCTCTAGGCATCAGTTTTTTATGTATTTTTTATTTTTTGATAACTTTCCTTATTTTGCTAATTGAGTTTAGCTATATAAACTCTTGCAATAACGATATTTTCAATCTTCTATTTTCCGTCATGTATAAATGGGAAAATTCTGGCTATAAGTAGGTTGTTTACTATTGCTATAAAGGCACATACTTTTGCCAAATATACTCAATAAAAGACTCAATGCCCCTCTATGTGAGAGGTTCTCTCATTATATAGAAACCAAAATAACAACTAAATATGATAGCAATCAATTACAATATTAATAAATAGTAAAAACAATCTATCCATAATAACTCATTATATAGAAACCAAAATAACAACTAAATATGGTAGCAATCAATTACAATATTAATTAATAGTAAAAACAATCTATCTATAATAGTCGTAATCTTTAACGATATCCGGAATCTTATTCAATCTTCGACGATCTCCGTAATCTTATTCAATCTCATTGACATCCCCTCAAATTGATGCTTGTAAAAGCATCAATTTGCAATCATGAACTGGCAATAGGGACAATATTTGTGCCCGCGAAGTAGAAATCCAAATCAGAGCAATCACCTACAGAAATTAGTGACGACGAGAGACCAAGAACAACAAGTAGTGCAGTAACCAACAAAGAACACTCCAAAAATACTCCAAAGAACACACACTCCCCAAGAAGAATTTTCAGAAAAAATTCACAAAGTGTGCCGACACAAACAGTGAGCTCTATCTGTCGGGAGAACTTAGTCGAACACATTCCAACAAGAGCTCTAACGCCAAAACACCGGCCAAAACTCCAAATGCTGCAGGTGGAAGAAATCCCACAAAACAGCTTAAACTTGAGCTCATCACTTGAGCAACCAAAATGCGATAATCTGCACTCTCATGTCTCTGTACTCACGAAGCACCATATAAAGGAAAAAAAAATTTGCAGATTGAGAGCCCAAACAAAATTCATCCCAAAATCAGCTCACTTATCCAGAAGTCCATTAACACCATATTACCTAAGCCCATTACGCACTATTTTCAACCTAATGTCAACTAATCTCCCAGAATTTTAAATAAAGTAGCCCAATAATACTTCAACATAAATAATCAGCCACAAGATTGTAGCCCAAAAATCTGTCCAAAGTACTAAGAAAGTGGCGCCCAATCAATAGCCCACAAAAAAAAATTTAATAGTAGTTGCCCAGCCTAGAGTCTTTTCAACTGCAGCCCCAGTTCATTTCACAATTTCAGCCTTATAAAACTACAGCCCAATTAAATAATAGTCCAAATAGAAATCCAGAACCTACAGCTCCATATCACCCGATAGCCAGAAACTCGCTGACAAGCACAAACACAGCTTACCGGCAGCAAAATACAAATCATCGGAGCCCAAGAACGGAAATGCCCACAAGTTAGTTCCAAACAAGAAAATTGGTCACATATTCCACCAGATGGAATCCTAATCAAAGATGTTGTACAGGAAAGAAAGCCCAAAATAAACGTTGGCACTTCAGATCACAAGTCCATGCACCAATATCTAAACTCTGGGCTTCGAAGATGAAGCCGTAGACCAGAAGTGGAATTTCGAAAAGAGAACAACCTCTTGCACTCGTCGCACTGGAGATGCGGTGTCGAACGTTCGACGAAACCGTCGAGCAAAAAATAGTCAACCTAGAATCTCAAAATGAAGCTGATGAATAGAAATTGCTCAACCCAAAATCGAAATCTAACCAGAAAGCTCCGCTACACGTCTGACAAAAGCGAAAATACGAGGATTCCCCTCATCTTAAGATTAAAAAAAATTGGTCGAGCGAGCAACACAAGGCCGCCCGCCGTAAACGACATTTAAGGGTTAATTTGTTTAGGATCAGAACGGCTCTGATACCATGTCAAATATACTCAATAAAAGACTTGATACCCCTCTATGTGAGATGTTCTCTCATTATATAGAAACCAAAATAAGAACTAAATATAGTAGCAATCAGTTACAGTATTAATTAATGGTAAAAACAATCTATCTATGATAGTCGTGATCTTGGACGATCTCCGGAATCTTATTCAATTTTCGACGATCTCCGTAATCTTATTCAATCTCATTAACAACTTTTACCATAAACCCAGTTCAATGATCAACTTAAAAACTAGTGTTCCTGCCATGCTTATTTTGTACTCGTTTACAATATCAAATAGCACATGTCCCTTTACGTAGTGGCTTCCACAGTTCCACCTATATCTAAAGGGGCTATACAATCTCCTATATTTGTGCTTAAATAGAGAAACTTATGTATAGACCATCCGATCATTATATTTATTTTGGTAAGTTCCACAAGAAACTTCAGGAATGGACTTGAGGTACCAAGGTATACATCAATTACGTTGATCCTAGATTCAATATTGAAATATAAGATATATTGCTAGCTTGAGAAACTTAGGAAACAAATGCATTAAACTCAATCAATTAAGTTGGACCTAGATTCAACATTGAAATATAAGATCTATTGCCAGCTTTGAGAAACTTAGGAAACAAATGTATTCAACTCAATCAATTAACTTGGTACTAGATTCAATATTGAAATTTATTTGGAGCGTAAAACTACAGCTGAATCATCTGTCATAACAGATAAAAAGAATCTCTAATATAAATAAAAACTTAAAAAGAACTTCAAGATTATTAGAAATGGGAGCCTAAATGGATTACAATACTGCAAAAGATCTAAGAATTGCGTAGTATATTGAAGTTAGACCGTTCTCGTGTCATATTTCATTATCAAACAAAACCAACAATTTTGATGCATTAAATTTATTTATTATACATTTTCATTAAGTTAATTAAAGAAAAATGCAGTAAAAAACAGTGATACAAGTTATTGCACAAATATAAAGCAACACGACCTCAATAAACCCAAAACACTTCATCAGTTCTGCACATACCTTACATCGCCAGGCTGCCGATGGCCAAGATTATAGAAAATTATAGCAAACCCCGTTCCAAGTATCTGAATAATAACGTACCAAATCAACAAGTAAAAAAAATGTAGCCTTCAACAAGAGATCAGGTAAAAAATTTAAACCATTCAAGTAAAAAAGGTAGATTCATTGTTTATGTCATCTTTGAGGCTATGGACAAATTATTTTGAACCCATTTATTATAGAGAATACAAATTCCACATGGATAAATAAAAATGAACTTAAGCTTTTATTGAACACATTAAGTTAATGCAAGAATACTTTGAACACTTTAAAACAAACCCTTAGCAGCCATTTCAATAAAAAATTTGAGCTTAATTAATTCCTCATTTAGCATTTTCTATGGAAATCATTTGCCTAGTGAACTTACAAACTCATTTCAGTGCCTTGTTTTTTGAAGACTTATTCAATCATGGTCTGCTATAAACTCAGCCAACGAAACCTTTTGATCTGTATAAAAGGTCAGTTAAAGAAAAAAATTAAAAAGCAGACAATTTTGCCTTGACAACTGCAAAGAGGGCTATTTTGAAAAATTCACTTTTATAGTATCATACATCTTTGCATTGACAATCTGTAAATGGTCAAACACCATAATAAATAATTTTAAGCCTAGTAGTCAATCTCAGTCAAACCAACTGTCAACATCATGTTAAAATCACAATTCCACAAGCTAACAGTTGCATCCCAGCTACAAGTGTAATCGTGTAGTGAAGATGTTGTGGAAACAAAAGAATAGCTAGACTTACATATAAAGGTCCAACTTCCAATCTCTGGGCAACAGGTGCCAGAATAAACCATATAATGATAACAGCCCATATCTTTAGACTTAGAGAGAAAATTGCCATCAAAAGCATATCTACAAGGAGGAAGGATTCATTTGAACTTTTCCATTCTAGTCCTGCAACAATTTGAATAAAATAGATAGATTTTTTTACCAGGAAGTTTGATCTTATCACGTAAGAAGAAGAAAAGCCTCCTCTTCCACCTACCAGTTGTCTGTGGAAGCTGAAATTTCTATATGCATTAAAGAGAGACAGTGTGAGACACTTCCCAAAAAAACAGGCTCAAAACAGTTGTCATTTTAGGAACCAATTAATACCAGGTCTTCACTGTCATCTTCATCATCATCATCCTGAATATGCTTAGCAGGTGGCTTCGGTTTGTGGGCAACAATTAAGCTTTCTGAAAAGATATATCGAGTCTCTTTTGTCAGAAGTAGCAAAAGCTAGTTTCAAGACTTTTGGTAAAATATCAACCAATGAATATCTTGCCAAATTGCATGCTAAGGGACAAAACAGTTTCACAGTAAGAGAGAAGTCAAGACATGGTCTAGTACAAGAGAATTTCAGGAGCTTTTAGTTGTTCCTGAGAGAAAATTCCCTTCTGGCCAGACTTCAAACTAGCCAAACAAGAAATAATTGGAAGAGAACAGATATGCTTTAACTTTACATTCAAATGTTCCTTTTTTTTGTCTCATCAATTTATTGCAGCATAGGGATATTCGTGAAGAGGTTACCAGAACAGCAGAAGAAGATAAACCATCAGTGTCTTACCTACTAAAACATGGATAGTTAAAGAAAGCATTTCAATAAAGAGAAATGGAGGCATCACCAAACAATCTTTAATTGGATACAAAAAGAAAAAGTAATCTTGAACTTAGTAGTATCAAGCTTGTCCTGATGTTGGGAAAGATCTTTACAAGTGAAGATGGGAAAAGTGACAGAGAAGAATATAAATGCAACTTGATGCACTAGTATCATATAAATTTATAGATCAAAATAATTACTTCTCCGGTTCAAACAATTTGTTTTAAAGCCCATTTAAAAAAGAAGTTCATCTGTTGCAATCTTACCAGTGATTAAAATCAAATCAAATCGAATAAGCTCGGTGATGTTTAGGTTCAGAATGACTTGGACCAAGTGACATACCCAACACATTTTTTTAACCCAAATTTGGTGCGCATGCTGTTACAATCGTGCAATTCTAACCTCACATGTCATCACTAAAAGAAAAGAATCCTCAATTTACTAGTTAATAACAATAGATAAAACTCAGACCTCCATCATGAAGTTGGATCATTGTGGCATCACCATTTCTATTGTCAAGCAACACATTCCCTCGAAAAATAAGCCTCATGTCATCAATGGGTAAGTGACTAGCCCCAGCAATCAATTTTCTCAAATCATGCACCTATTTTTCAGGAGGAGAAAATGAATTTACAACAAAAAAAATTCCTTTTAAAATACACGTTACCAGTAGCAAGGACACTAAAATTTTAAGTAAACATTTGCAACGCATGATAATGCAAATTCTAACCAGAAAAAAGATAGATAAAATGGGTTATTCGAGTACAAGAACAACCTTCAAAACTAAGAAACAGTAGAAATAAAATTAAACATTGTGCTCATCTATTCAGAGGGATTGTTCTCCTTTATTTTGGTGTCACAAAGAACATAACATTAAATTTCACAACCATACAGGTGAAGGAATGAATTTGAAACTATAAGACATCCAATTGATGAATAGGATCCATTTATCTCCTATATTTACAAATCATATAGAGAAAGTACAATAAAAACCCATGAGGAGCACAAATACAGCTTGGGAGGAATGGATCATACTCATCCATGATATGGTGTCATAGAACATGCGGAAATTTATATTGCAAACAATTAAACATGCTCAGATGATAGGCAGGACACATGAAATCAAATCATATTAAGTTATTAACTTCAATCGTCTGAAAACTAAAAGGATACACTTGCAGATTTCATTTGATATCAAAATCCTAAAAACAAAATCTAGGATAGCAGATTCATGGATAAACACTTTGTTGGTCTGCCACAATGCAACTTCCAGATGACAATTCAAATTTTAGTTAAATTTCTCTGAATTAAAATTGAAATTTTCGACTTACATTTTGTTGAAGTTAATAACACCATGTGCTGTTTAACTTCTTTATTATTGGTACATGAGAAGTAGCAGATAAGACTAGAGTTTTAACATGTTTAAGAGGACGGTACAGGACACTTTAAGAGAACCTTTTTTTCTCCAGTCTCATATAAGGATGTACATTGCTTGGGGAATTGAACTCACAACATAAGCAGGGAAGTTCTAACTGCTCAATATGAAAGAGGACCACCTTTAGCCCCTGTTTGGTTTAGATAAAAATCATATTTTTAGTGATAAAAGTTGTGGATCCTATGAAATGTGTGGTTCAAAATGAGTTTGAGGAAAAAAATGAGTTTTTGAAATGGGGGCCAAATAAGGGCTTAGTATTATAGCCATGTGTTACAAAACAAGTTGTTCATGGTCAGTTTGCAAACCTTTCTTTCAAGACTGAAAATTCACATTTTGACATCTATGATTCCATAACAAGTAGATACTTCTCCAGGAGCATAATCAAATTTCCGTTGCAACACATTTTACTTTCTGCATTCAGGTAGCTATTTTTGCAGCTTCACATAAGGATCCCTTCCACCCCATTCTTAAGTTCAGAAGATATGATATTGTCCCTGACCACTGGACGAGCAATTCAAGTTCAACAAAATCAATGAAGTTTATCCCTGTATAAAATAAATAGATAACTAAACATATAACACACCATTTTTCCCTCGTGTAGGTGCCTCCATATTCTTATTTTTTTTTCCTATCAAATATACTTACCAGTTATTTATATTAAATGTTTTAATACCCATTATAATTCCAGAACAAGTAGAGTGCACAAAAGGAGAGTACAGTGTGCTAATAACACATGAAAAAAATTATTATCACTTGTGACAATGACCTCAGATTTGTTTAATGAATAGAAATACCCTTGGATTAGCATCACACAATGAGATACTGTATAATATAATCAAGAATTAACATTCTATTTAGTTCAGTATCGCAGTCTTCAATTCGTTGCTTATAACAAAAATAGTTGTTGAACAGAACCCAACCAAGAAAAACATCCAATTGACATTTCTGAAATATAAGTATTGTTAGGCTTTAAGGATAACTATAGTGTACTACTTAATTTATATAGCTTTTCAGAAGATACTAACTGTCAAACTTCTCAAGAGAGCCATAAGAGGAAAGAAATCATAAATATTTTTTCATAGTTTTAACGCTATGAAAAAATTTAGTATATCACTTGTGACAATGACATCAGATTTGTTTAGTGAATAGTAATACCCTTGGATTAGCATCTCACAATGAGATACTGTATAACATAATCAAAAGTTAACATTCTTTTTAGTTCAGTATCAGAGTCTTCAATTCATTGCTTAAAACAAAAATAGGTTTGAACTGGACCCAACCAAGAAAAAGATCCCACTGACATTTGTGAAATGCAAGTATTGTTAGGCTTTAAGGATAACTATAGTGTACTGCTTAATTTATATAGCTTTTTAGAAGATACTAACTGTCGAACGTTTCAAGAGAGCCATAAGAGGAAAGAAATCAAAATATTTACTCCAGTGAACAAACTTAAAAACCCAAAACAATTTTGTTGTACTTATATTCATGTACACTAATAGAGGACAATGGGGCAGTCAAAATCATTCAAGCATAAGCACTCGCTACACCCACTTCACAAGAACTATGGACTGGCACTGCGAAGGCCTCAACAGTATCGATGTCTTGAGCATATTGAATTTGACGATTACATAACATTCATAGCCCTCTTCTAAATAGGCCAAAAAAAAAAGGTCAAATCTCCTAATCCTAATAGACCTGCCTGTCTCCTAGAAAGAAAAGATAACAATGTCATAAAAAGGAAAAAAAAATAATAACCTACTCTTAATAGGACTAGAAGTCCATCAAAAAAATATTAAAACTCAAAGAATCCTAATACTATAAATAACACCACTTATATTGTCCTACGTCAGTCCTTCCCATTTAAAACTCTTTCATAGGTGGGCAAAACATCTGCTAACCTCTTCTGCAAACGGATGTGATCCTGATATAAGCACTTCATTCAATCTTTTTTATTTATTTATTTATTTTTTATTCTAGGATAATGGAATACAAATCTCACCGCTTTTAACATCCTCCTAGATAAAGTGTTTGTCAATTTTAACATGCTTAGTTGTGTAGTTGTGTCTTGCTAGACAAGATTGTAAGCAATGTTGATGGTAACTTTATTATCACAACATTCATTATTTCTGTCTCAGCCACTCATATTTTTTGAATGACGTCTTTAACCACATCAACTCACATATTCCGAACGTCATTGCTCTAAATTTGGCTCCAGACCTAGCAACTATTATTTCTTGCTACTCCAAGTAACTAGATTTCCTCAGAAGAAGTAGAAAATCATAGACCATAAGCTTGCCCAATCAGCATAAATATAAAGCCTTTGCTGGTGTTCTTTTAAATGTCATAGGATCTCTAAAACCACCTCCATATGAATTTCATGAGAAGAGTGCATATAGTAACTCACTACACTTACAGCAACTACAATCGGGTCCAAAGTGAGATAAATACGTTAGTTTACCAACAAATCTTTAGTATCGTCTTTTGTCAACTGCAGTACTCTCAATAATAACTTCTAAATTATGTTTTGGACCAAGTGGATTATCTCCAAGTTACGAGGCCAATAAAATTGTTTTTGAGAATATCTAAGATATGCTTTCTTTGTGATACAAATATCCACAATTGTGGATATCACAACCTCGATACCCAAAAAAATATCTTATACTTTCTAATGTGGGCATAATAGAATACTCCAATCTTTGCCAAAGTCTAAGATTTCTTTAAGGAAGAATTCTAGACGAAAACCCGAAAATATGAAGCAAGACATACAAAAAACTTAATATTTTACTTTAAATAAAGTTTTATCCTTTCTTTCCAGTACATAGATTCTTTTATATTACAAAAATGACTTCTAGACACTTAAAATGACTCTTTGACTGCTTAGACATTCACTAAATGCATATAAATTTAATATAGGGAAACAAATAGATTTCTTGACTCTACACATGTTTTCAAACATAATTTAAACTTAAGAAAGACTAGCATATAACTAAACAATGACTCTATGACTCCTTTAACTCTTTAATTAAGAAAAATATTTATTTGCATTAATCCCTCCTCCATGAAAGAAACTCAACTCGAGTTTGTTAGGGACCACCAGAATTTTCTTCACAATTAAAATATAAGTGGGAAAATAAAATGTTGGATGTATACCCAAGTGTTGCGGCAAGTTTATTTTGTAAGCATTTCTCTCAATTTTCTTGAGGACTTTGCAGGGATCAATTTTCCTTTTATTGAGCTAAGAATATGTGCAGAAAACTGCTCTTTACGTAGATAGACCATAACCATATCACCCTTTTAAAGAATTGAGAATAGAGACACCTCGACAATTTTAACTTTCTCTCTACCTGAAGGAGCATAAGAAAATATAAATTTGATTGGAAATTCAAATGATCTATGGCACCAAAATCAGCAATCTACTTTAAGCTCATAAGAAATCATCATGCCAAAGTACTCCATCTTTACGGTTGTGATAGATGACAGCTTAACTAATTGGAACCATACAGCCATTGCAAGGCATGAATGCATTGTTGAGCCACCATCTCATGGATATCATGACATAAGAGAATACCATAATTGCACTAGCTATGGTTCCATGGATGGAAATCATCGTGTTGCAATAGGGCATTATGTTGTAGGTATTCGAACATAGATAGGTAGACAAGGTCAATCTTTTTATCCTCTTTTTATCGCATTATGTTCTCATACAAACTAAATCGTAATCAGAGTTTAATGTATTGAATTGTGCATCTTCAAGCCCAACGAAACTCTATCCCAAATTTTGGTACAAACTTGGTAGTTTTCCAAACCCAGAATCATTGTCATAAGAATGCTCATCATTACCACATTAGTTAGCCATCACCTTTGGTTGGATTCTTGGCGCAACAACTAAATTTAGATATAGTAGAAATAATAGAAAAGCTTAAAAAGATAATATATTTTTATAGAATAACTTAGAATGTATTTAATTTGGAGGGTAAAAAAAGCATGCCTAACCGAGTTCTCATTTAAGCAAAAATGAGATATGCAACTCTTAATGCTAATAGGCCTACGTGCTAACCATCTCCAATAAGGAAAAGAAAACAATGTCATAAAAGGGAAAGACAAACAATAACCTACTTAATGGGACTAGACATATTATCAAGACAAAAATCTAATAATAGTAGAAATCAAGGAATATTATGCTTACACTATTTAGATTGTCCTACATTGTCAGTGTTAAATGCTCAAAATCATCAAGGCATCTAAGGCCCCTGGTGCTTAAGTACAAATGAAATACTGCACTTCATTCAAATGACAAGCTTAGCCTATTATGTTTATAAATAAAAATACTTCATGCATACATAATGTATTCTGAGAATATTATAATCTGCTACTTTCGGTATATATCCGAAAATCTAATTATTTGACAATCAATATGGTAAATCAACAGCAAAAAATATTATACATCCAATTTCATCAGCCCCTAGAAGAAACTAAAAGTGAACCATAGTTCACATGGAAAAGGACACAGCAACCCATATTTTTTTTTATAAAACTAACTAATGTGCTTTGTCCTCTATTCAGCTTTAAGGCACTTCATACACAAGAAGAGCCATGCTGCCTGCAGAACTAGGTGCATATATTTACACTTATTTTTTTGCACATTGCCATTGTTTTTGTGTCTCTGAAAGTATATAATAAACAAATATGAATTTAACAAAATTTAATATATTAACTTACTTACAATTAGGACATAATTATTATTTTTCTTAATTCCATATTATCATAATAGTTAATCTGAGCAATTCTATCCAGTAATCACGGTGGAATGAAGCTTACATTCTTCTTTCGTGAATTTAATCATCTTCACGGTTTATTCACACGCACATATTGTTGAAAACAAGACTAAGGCCTGTTTGATTGACACATTTTCCATGGAAAATGTCACGTCCGAGAAAAATGAATTCCACATTGGCCGTTTGATTGCAACGTGGAAATGGAAACCGAATTCCAAGATACAACAACTTTAAACTGCATTTTATTTATTTTCATGGAAAACGAATTCATATGGGTGTGGTGGATTTTTATCTTCCAACTAACATGGAATTGGAATTCCTTTCCGCTTTTGCCTATCCCTAATAGTCTCCGTTCTTCCCATGAAAAGCAATTGATTTAGATTTATCGATATATTTATTTTTTCCAAAGTTTAATTAAAACTAACTGTTCTGTTTCATATCTTGACGCCAGACCTCTCATCTAAATACGAAGGGCTTCTTCGTTGTTAACATGCAAATCCAAACCTCACATATTCTGAGAACCAAATAAAATTCACATATTCCATATCTATCAGTCGGAGACTTTTCCTACCATAAATGGGAAAAGGGATACTTCAATCAGCAATAATAGTAACAATAGTTTAAAAAAATTAACAATTTTCGACATTTATTATGTTTTAGAAATAGAAAATGAAGAAATTGAGATTCATAATTAAAAGTAGTACTTCAATGGGAGAGGGGACCATGAGGCGAGAAGGAGGTGAAGGACCGATGGTTCTGAGAGTGATTTCAACCGTCTCGTTCTTTTCTTCCGTTCCATGGCAGTGATCAGGCTTCATCCGCTTGATTGTTGTACGTTATGAAGGTTACCGAGAAGTCTCCGAATAGGGGTAACAAGTTCGACAAGTGTTCAATTATTCGAATTTTAAATTCAACTTTAATTTGTGTCACAATATCCCCCATGTATAAACTTTGTTCCTCATTGGTCATTGCATTAGAACATCCCAAGAGAGTCCTTGATTTTTAAAAACCGTCTTAGTTTTGATAGTAAAATTTGCACTTTATCTTACATTTTTCAAGATCATTTATTATTTTTCCACTATTTTTATTAATATAGTTTCTTAAATATCAAAAGCTAAAATATTCAATATAATATGAATCATTTAAGAATAATGATATCTAGCATCAACTGGACGAACGCACGTAATAGGTCCAATTTAATAGATCATGTGACTTTGTATTTAAATTAATATATCATTTAAAGTCATGTAATTGTCACTTAAACGGTTGTTTAGAAACGATAGCAATAAATACCCATTACTCATCATTTAAAGTAGTAAAACATTGAAAGTTGCTATTTTATTAAATGTAATCATGATAAACGCTAGTTTGAATCTCTAAGTGCATAGAATCAAACTTACTATATATTTTACAAAGTCAAAATAGCAGTGTTGTAAAAAGTTCGTCTAGACGACGTCTAGGCTCGAGGCTCAGGCGAAAAACCACGCTTTGGCAATGAGTATCTAGTGGCGTTTTACTAATTTTTTTTAATTTTTTTCCTTTTTAAAAGACTTTTATTTGACTTTGGTTTCAAATTTTGAAATGACTTTATTGTGCGGAAGTAAAAAATGAAAACATGTTAGAAAATTTCAAGTAGAAGTTATCTAGGGCCTGTTTGAGCCCATTTTTTTGTATAGAATGCATTTTGGAATAGTTGATTGATGGAAAATGTATAATTAAAAATGAAGGAAAAATTTTTGGGTTGCATATAATATTATTTTATTGAAAAATGTATTGTTGAATAAAAGAAAGAAAAATATATTTTGGAATCAAATAAGGGGATAGTTGAAAGTTGAAACTATGAAAAATAATCTAATTTTTGCATCTACATTTTATTTGACTTTAGTTTCAAATTTTTAATGACTTTATCTGTACAAAAGTTTTAAAAAAAAATGAAAACACCTTCAAAAATTTCAGGTATAACTTATCTAGTTGAAATTATGAAAAATAGTTTAACTTATGTATCTCAAAAATTTGAAAATTGTATAATTGACTAATTGTATAAACTATGAAAAGCTTGTTTGAGCCCTATTTTTGATGTATAATGTATTTTGAAATAGTAGATTGATGTATAATGTGTGATTAAAAAATAAGAAAATGTTTTGGGTTTACGTGTAATATTATTTTATTGAAAAATGTGTGGCTAGAAAAAAGAGGAAGAGAGATGTATTTTGAAAAAAATGGAGATCAGACAAAGGCTAAGTAAATATAATATTTTATAATTTTAGATATTGGTATATATTATTTTAATTATTAAATAATTTGTTAAATGATTAAAAATTTAAAAGAATATTAAAAATAAGATAACGTTTTTTTTACGTCTAGACTCGTAAAACTTGAATTTGGATTCCACGCCTAATCATGATTTACGTTTTTTAGAACATTGCAAAACAAAGAAGCTATTTGAACTTTTTTTTGGATAAGGTAAGTATATTATATCCAAAGTGTAAAAATAAAGTACATGATCATTGGGGCATATCCCAGGAAAACAAGTTTAGGAATATACGTCCTCCTAGCACCAAAAACAATAACCTAAATTAGAGCTTATAACCTAGTCACGACAATAGAAAATATTCACAGAAAAACCCCATGAGCGTTGGAGCCATCTATTCAAACTAGATGGGACCAAACCTCTACATAAATCCACTCGTGTATAAACAGAAAAAACAATATCTCGAATAACAATAGATTCATGTTTAGGAATCACACCATGGGTCCTAGCATTACGCTCACGCCAAATAGCATAAATTGAAGCCTCGAACATCAAACAAATAACAATGGACCGCAATGACCTCCCACAAAACTGCTCTATCCAAGAAAGAGTATCTAACCAACTCTGTTGAACCCAAGGCAAGTTAGATTTTGCATGCAAAGCATGCCAAACAAGCTCAAAAAATGGGCAAGCAAAGAAAAGATGATCCAAGTCCTCCTCCGAACATCCACACAACGTATATACTATACCAAACCAAAGCGAAACAGCTTTGCCTGTGTATAAAGGCCACCCTGAATTGCTAGCCAAAGGATAAATGCATGACGGGGAATATACTGAGGAAACCATACAATGTGATACCAAGTCACACTAGGGCAACGAAGTCGAATAGACTCCCAAGCACTCAGAATAGAGAAGACTCAATGCACATCATCCACCCATAGTACTATCCGGCCGAAAAGTACAAGTGTATCTCGCATTAGATCTGACAACATGGGGAACGAGCTGATGGCCACCTCCAACTATATCAACAATATCAGCCACCTTAGCTAATCTACTCAATCTAGATTCATGAATGATCCTCTCACCAAGAATCTTCTGCAGAGGGCCAGGAGGATGCCAATTATCAAACCAAAGAGAAGCACGTCTACCGTTACCAATTATAAATTTCATTTTGTCCCTTCCTATCTCCCAAAATGCAAGAATCTTCCTCCAGTTCCAAGAGCAATCCTCGGGACACTTCAATTCCCAAATGCTTCAGTCTTTAAGTAAGTAACTTCGTGCCCACGAAACCCAAAGAGAAGAGGCAGAATCCGTACAAATGGACCAAATGTGTTTTAACATAGCAGTCATATTCCAAATCTCTTTGCTCTGCAAACCCAAACCACCCTCCTTCTTAAGCATACAAAGTTTCTCCCAAGCTACTTTAGTCCCTCCGATGCCAAGGTTACAACCTTTCCACAAGATGGCACGTAGAGTAGCTTCCACTTGCTTGATCATAGCCTTAGGTAAAATAAATACGGAAGACCAATATACCTGAATAGAAAATAACACGGACTTAATAAGTTGTAACCTTCCCGCATAGGAGAGTGCTCGACAAGTCCAACTCTTAGCCCTGGCTATAATACGATCAACCAACATCTTACAGTCCAAAGCCCGTAATTTGGTAGAGATAAGTGGAACACCAAGATAGCGTACTGGTAGAACTCCCTCCTTATACCCCAAAACATCAAGCAACTGATCCTTAAGATATGAAGAAACTCCACTAGCAAATAAATTACTCTTATCGAGATTAGGAATAAGACCGGAAAGAGCTTTGAATCGATTAAGGCATTCCCCAATGAGAGAAACATAACCTACCTCAGCTGTACAAAAGATCATAAGGTCGTCAGCAAAACACAGGTGGGTGATCTTCTCTTTCTCACACTTCCAGTGGTACTGAAAATCCTGCTTTGCAACCATCAACCCCATTATCCCTGAAAATACCTCCATTGCCAATACAAACAAATATGGCGATAATGGATCTCAAGCCTCTCCCACCAGCGAAGAAACCATGTAACTCGCCATTACTAGAAATCGAAAACTTAGTGGTAGTGACATACTCAGTAATCCACAAAACAACTCTCTCTGGAAAACCAAGCACCCTTAAAACTGTAAAGAGAAAATCCAATGAACAGAATCATAGGCTTTCATGAGATCAACTTTAAGTGCACACCTAGGCAGTCCTCCACAACGGTGAAAATTCCGTAATAGCTCTTGGAAAAGAAGGATATTATCGCTAATATGCCTCCCTTTAACAAAAGCAATTTGTTGAGTTCCAACAATGTTTAGAAGAACCAGCTTGACTCTATTGGTAATAAGCTTAGCAACACATTTATAAATAGTATTGCAACAGGAGATAGGCCTAAAGTCATTTACCTTAGAAGGATTTGGAACTTTAGGAACCAATGCGATGGTAGTAGCATTGACTTGCTTCAATAGTTGCCTCGAGTCAAAGAAAGACTTGATGGCTTATAGAACATCATTCCCCACAATATTCCAAGTCCTCTTGAAGAAACCTGCATTAAAATCATCTGGCCCCGGAGCCTTGTTGTCTTTCAAAGAGAACAAAACCTCCTTAATCTCCTCAAATGTCACATCTCTATCAAGGGTTTCATTCTGCCCCGCTGAGATACTCTTAGGAAGAGCTCTTCATAGCAAGTCCATATCCAGACTCTCACCACTAGGCTGCTGTCCAAGGAGATTTTGATAGAATTCAACAATAACTTTACTAACCTCATGCAGCTCCTCCACTCTAGTACCATCATCTCTACAAATGGAAACCACCTTATTCCTGCCATAGTGCTTTTCATAGCCTTGAAGAAGAAAGCAGTATTCTGATCCCCTAAATTCAACCACTTAACACGATCTTTTTGTCCCAAAAAGCTCTCCTCAGCCCTACTCAACTCACAAAATTCCTTTTGTAACCGAGCCTCCTCTCTATGTAAAGATGAATCCAAAGGTGAGTGTTGAATCAAACATTGAACATGCTCTAAATCAGTCCAAGCACGAGCAACTCTCGTATGTAGATTTGAAAAATGCTCTTTATAAACTCTTTCAAGGCAAGCTTCAACTTCGAACACAAACAAAACGTAGGAGTTCCTACAACCGCTTCATCCCAAATTTTAGCCACCAAAGGAAAGAAATCCAGGTGATCCATCCAATAACCAAAGAAACGGAATGGAATTTTCCTAGGTGGTAGCCCTGCAAGTTTCACTACCATAGGAGAATGATCCGACACTCCAACAATAAGAAAAGTAGCTTTGGAACTTTTAATATAAAATGCAGTTCACTTTTAAACAATCTCTTAGAACATTTAAGGTGTCTCTTGAAAATGCTCAATCTAATTACAATTGAAATATTGTATACCTGAGTTAGCATGAGTTTGACAAGTTTTTTTGATATAAACCCTCACTTCTCTCGAGCTTTCCGAAAATATATTTTAGATTCCAAATGTGTGTAAGGAAGATCTGATATTGAACTCCCAACGATTGACGCTAATTCATCAGAATCTGAACCAAGCCAAAAACT